CCCCAAAACCCCAAAACCCCAAAACCCCAAAACCCCAAACTATATTTTTGTTATTGAAGATTACAAAAATGAAAGAACCTTCTACTTCTCAGGTCATTGTCATAATCAGCCAGATGCCAAATAAGCCTTGAACCAGAGGTATCAGTCAAAGGAAATCTAAATTAGGCATGACTCGGTGAAAAAAGAAAATTGGTTAGGGAAAACCTTTGTTTTAGAAGTAAATGTCCATAACATTTTGGCGTGATATAGCAGATGTAAGCCATATGAAGTGGATGAGGGTTAAGGAAGAAACCAGAGATCTGTGGTTGAGCAGAATGAGAAAAATTGAGAGTATATGCATATCTGGAGTATAGAGAATGGGTTGAGAAGTACTCAGTATGTAGGCATTTTGGAGATGGAGAATTTTTAATGATAAATTTATAATTGTTACCACCAAGAAGATATTTACAAAATGCTCGGTCTTGAGGCTAAGAAGACTCTAGTGTAGAAAAAGAAGCCAGACAGGTGTTCTAAAGCATCCATTTTGCACTGCGATATAATTAAATTAGGTTCTAGCATAATAGATCAAGTTCTTAAAACTGGTGGGTTGATCATAGTGGAGCAGAAATACTTAAATAATTCCAGAATTAATAATTAATTAAAAATCCAAATGAAAATTGCTCTCACAATTGTATTGTGCTTGGTCCTTTCCATGTCAAGCGCTTTCAAACTCAGGTAAGTAGACCTTTTATTAGTATCATAATGATCTCAATGCAGCCGAGTCTGCATAAGACTTTCAGGTGACATCTTTGATTAAATATCGATATCGATTAATTTCCAAATATCTAATCTGGTTTAGACAAGGAAACATTGCCGCTGATATTGGTGCTGGTGTTGGAGCTGCCAACCAAGCCATCACTGATGGAGAAGAATTCTTCAACGACGCTGTCCACGGAGCCCAAGCTACCATGGAGAACTTTGCTGGACAAGCTGTAAACGGTGCAGGAGCTCTCGCTGGTATGATGGCTGGTGGAGCCCCTGCTGGTGGAGCCAGACTTCAACAAGGAGACCTTGCTGAAGATTTTAACACTTTGAACCAAGATGCTCTCCAGGCTTTCCACGATTTTGATCAATCCTTTGCTGATGGCCTTGAACAGACTGAAATGATTACTAATAACGTTATTGGAACTACCGAGCAAGCTTTGGGAGCTAATGGAGCCACAGTCGCTAACCCAGACAGACTCCAACAAGATGAAGCAGAGGCTGCCACTCAAGATGTTCCAGATGCTGCTGGTGATGCAGATGAAGCCGCTATGACCCCACTCGAAGCTTTCAACGACAATATCCTCGATAGCATCCTAGACTTTGGCGGATTTTTAAACACTCTTGCTGGAGGTAGTCCTCGCGATGAAGCAAGACTTCAGAGACTCCACTAAGTTGCAAGTTTGAAGTAGTAATTTCTTGAGAAAACTAAAGAAATCATCGGATATAACTAATTGATAAAAAATTTAAATGAAATTGATTGTTCAATTACTTTGAGGTATTTTGGGGTTTTGGGGTTTTGGGGTTTTGGGGTTTTGGG